CACAATTTTGTTGACAACATATTTTGTTGTAAAACATTATCTGAAAAATCCTCTGCCAATCGATGCATCGGAAAACATCGATGTACATTCCGATGCATCGAGTCAAAGAAAAACATCGATGTATTTTTCCCACTGACATCCCTACATTATCTTAACTTTCGCGCTGTTACAGCATTGTATTATAGGTTGCTTCTCCGTTGTCCGTTGTGCCTGCAGCTTCGCGACGTCGAGCTTTCGTCGCGTTAATTTGGGCTTGCAGTTACCTTTTCCGAAAGACGTGGAAAGTATCCTTGGAAACGGCTATCCTTCAATGTTCAAATTTGGTTATGAGGCAAGATTTGTAACCAAGCGTTTACGAAATTTTCAACAAGTGTCTTTAAAGTGACTCTTACTGGATACACATATAACTACTACCCATACCGCAATCAGTTTGTACTCCTGAACACTATTTAATATTTCGTCGTTTAAAGTACAAAACCGCGTATCGTAATTCTGCAAAACCGCGTAACTGACATTGGCTGCCAAAAATTGGATTTGCACACACAAGCTCTTGGCTCAATCCTTATCCATTCGTCCTGACATATACTATCCAGAAATGCGATTGCTTTATAAAAGAGAGAACCAATTTGAAATATGAGTGTTTTTACGCTTTAGAAAATAATTTCTACAACTTCACATACGCGGTTTTGTATTTTACTGATACGCGGTTTTGCATTTTGTTGATACGCGGTTTTGCTCTTTAAACGACTATTTGTACTTGAAGCTTTTATTTATGTACATTAGGGTGGCCATATCTGAAGGATATCTAAAATATAATTGGACACCCTATCCAAAAATATATGTGAATTAAAGTGCGTATTTTCAAAAACCTTTGCCTGGAAGGTGTATGTACTGTAAATGTTACTCATATTGTGGTATTAAGTAAGCTTAAATTTTTAACAGTTGTTGTTGTCTTTTTTAGAAAAGTGGCAACCCTGCACCAAAACATTTTTAAATCTCTTCAAACGAGTTTAGTTTTGATGAAGAAATGTAATTATTTTACTGAGCCTTAAAATAATTTAAACTTTTTAAATATCTGGCAACGCTTTTTTTTAATTTTTTTACCAAATACCCACAGGAAGAATCGAATAGTATGAAAAAATACAAAAACATCCATTGAGCTGTAAAATTTTTTAGTTAACAAGTAATTTTTAGCAAAAAAAAAACAAATTCAATTCTCATATAAAAAATATATATATATATATTTCCTGGTCGAATGATCGGATCTTAACCAGATTACATACTAATCCTCCTCTGAGATACTACCATTCCGATTAGAATTATCGAAATCGGTTGACGTAGTCCAAAGTTGTGCGGTCAAAGTCAAAGCCACTTCTATCTTATTTAATATGCCTTGGCCTCCATATTTCTGCGCCATATTTTTAAGAGCATGGGCAAGGTGAGATGTAGAGCATTTTTTTTTCGTCGAGTGCTCTGCTTTTGAATTGCCTACCGGGCCCAAAATAACACCTATTGGCAGGAGTTATTCTTCGCTTGATCTTCAGGCTGGAATTCTTGGCGGTGTTTATACTGAATCCGAAATAAACAAAGTCCTTTTTTTACTTCCAGGAGTTCCTTTGTTTTGTTCTCTTTAGATTAGGAAATGCTGCTCTACAACCCTCGTGTTAAGACCGACGATGTCAATAACGCCTGCATACGCTGGGAAGCTCGTATTATACTTACAATATCAGATTTAAGAAATCTGCGGTGTAAATTTAAAAGGGATTCCCCACTTTGTACAGTCAAAAGCGGCTTAAAAGTCGACGAAAGATGGTGTGTGTTGACTTGCTTATCTAAATCCTATTCCAGTATTCGTCGAGCTATGAAAATCTGGTTATCTGTTATCTTCTGTAATCTTGTCATTTGAGAAATCGTCGCCTGGGTAAAAGATTGTCGTAAGCGCCATTTTGACGACTTTTAGTTCTAAATGCAGTTATATATTCTGAAATAAGGTCTTTCGATTGGTGTTATCAGTTTTTAGATATCTTCTTTAGTTTACGAGATATTGACTACAATTTTTTCGATAATTTTGTAAAAATTTAGTCAGTGATGCCGCCATATTAAACTAATCAATATCTTAAAAATGGCGCTCTCCATTTTTGGATATCTCCTTTAGTTTCCGAGATATTGAGTAAAAAGTGACGTTAATTTGGTAGAAATTTTAATCACATTTTGTCGTATTTCATACAAAGTGACTGCCAAATTGTGGACAAATGACGCTCATGACAAAATTTTACTAAAGAAAATCTTTCATAAACTCAAAACTAAATAACAGTAAACATTAAAAATTAAATAATTTAAGAATTTTGTGAACTAGTAACTTTCTCAGAGACTTTGGAGAAAATCTATCTTCGCATTTTTGAGAAATTGCATTCCAAACTTCAATCGCGATTTCCCACAACCTGCCGAAATTAACATACGACAATCTTTTACCCAGGCGACGAGATGCCAACAAACATGGGTATATATGTATATATTTAAGTATGTATATGTATGGTTGTTGTTATAGTTGAAGTGAAAATAACAGGTAGAAAACGTGGCCCTCGGTTAACACAACACTCGATAAACGCAATACCTCGGTTAAAGCAACACCCATATGCTGACCTTTAGTGACTCAGTAATTACAACGTTTCAAATAATTGTGCCTCAGTATATACACCAATTGTTCAAAAGAAATTAACCAAGAAATTTACTGATTTAAATTTTGTATACATATAAATAATTTTGAAGTGAATAAATGTAAACATTTTTGTTGGCCTTATTTCAGAATAGTCAAAACGAATACATATAAGATGGTATCGATTCAACAAAGACACCAATTACTTGTATTTTGTCTTTATTTTAGCGGGCCGTTGTCAAATTTCAGCTATTCTTCCCCGAATGAAAAAGGGCGTCATAAAATACGTCACGTTTTCACTCACTCACTAGCGAAATACAAAATTTTGACAATCAAACTACCCCGCTACCCCGTGGCGAATGTCACACATTAGTCACTACTTAATTGTACGGAAAAGTTACGTCTTAAATGACTTTGGGCTCCGTTTATATGGAAGTCGTTCATGACTTTTTCATATAAATGGTAATTTCGTCGTTGATGTCATCTACATGACTTTGTCATGCAGTGATCATTGATGACATTCAAGCGACAGTATCTTCCAATGGACGTTTTATAAGTGACCGCTGCAAGACATTGTCTGTTATAAGTCTTTGGTAGGAGTACACCTGCATGACATTGTCACCAGTGTCTTTGTCAGCTATATGTCGTTTAGGATTCACAGCAAGTGCGACGATGTCACCGGTGACCATTTTCGCTACTGGGTACTCACAGCTGGCGAAACAACACCACCTTATATAAATTCGCCTTGAATAGTATGTATTTTACTTTGGAAACTACAGAAACCCAAAATGTTTCGAAAGGGGTTGTTGGTTATAATAAATAAACCAAAAACAAAAAACATTCTCATAAGCCAACAACAACAAAATAAAAATAAACTGGAAATTATTGTTATAAAAACATAGTACTTAAAAGGATCAAGAAATAGTTTAATCTATGTGTTCCATAAATATTTAGTAAGGAGAAAATGTGTGGGAAAAGTTGATGATTGCATTCAAATGAAGCTCCCAATGTTAGCGGACTCCTTGAGTGATCTTCTGTTTCCATAAAGAAGGCTCCGGAACATTATTTTCTGTGCCGATATTTGTGAAAATTTCTAGGTCCTGACTGTCTAAGGCGCTAATCAGTATGTATATCATGACTTGTACATTTAGAGAGAATAATGTTTGCTAATTTTGTTATTAAGAGTTTGTGCTGAACCAATTTTTCCTTTAGTTGGGTAGAAATATTTCCAAGAAAATTCATTGCTATAGCCACTCTGTAATAAGCTTCAGGAATCGATGATACACTACATATTATTTTATTTCTGGTATGTGGAATGCGTAGAAGTTTAAATTCACCATGTAACGATTTTAGAAATTCAAACGCTTATTAGAAAATATTGGAATATGACAATATTTTGTCGAAAGTCTTTTACAAGTTTAAAAACGATTTCAGAGTGTTCAGAAAGCGCTTGGTTAGTTGAAACTAAAAAAAATTCTTGATGCCATAAGAACGCTCACTACAAATTTATTCGAGATTTTGTAAACTTATTTGTGGTCGATGAAACTACCATGCCTGGTTCGAACATCAATCCGTTAAATGCCTTAATAATCGTGGTATACGTTTCTTTAAATCTAAGTATTGTGAAATATATGTCTTAAATATCGCCGTTTTGATAATAAAGATAATTATTTGAAATTTGTATTAGTCTAGTTATCTTTATGATGAAATCTCAAAAACCGTAAATATTGAACTAGCTCTCTGTATTATGTGCATTCAGCACAAATCTGGCGATTAATTCGATGAAAATTTATAATTTTGTCACTTTTATCTGCAGTAGTATTTGATTGATTTATCTACACTGAGAAAAGAGACACTAAACATAGTTCTCTCAACACAAAATGGTGACTATAACCAAGTTTTGTAACTATAACCAAATCATGTGGTGTTAAAAATTCAGTTGACGTAACTAAACTCTTTTTTCAGTGTATGAGTCAAGGTAGTATGATAAAAATATGGCTCAGATAGCTTGTTAAAAGACCGGTGCCTTTTTGCAATCAAATCTGATCAATTTCCCTATCTTATTTTTCTGTGTACTTATCAGTATAAGTCTTCACACCGAGCTCGGTATTCGTCAACTCGGTGCCCGGTAATTTTTTCTAATGTATTTTGTTTGTGTAAAATAGTGTTACACAAACAAAATACATGGGAAAAAAATTACCGAACACCGAGTACCAAGCTTCGGTGTGAAGACCCATAATATTTATACACATAAATGTGGTAAAACTACGCTGCATACTAATTTTTATGAGTATCTGAAAAAAATTGCTGTACATTTATTCTTTCCTTCTGCTTTGTCACACAGATATTCCGATGGCACAGTTAAATTGCGCAACTCCAACATCGAATTAATGGATCAGGATATACTCTATCATCTCGCTTTGGGCAGTTCAACAGCGTTGAGAAGTGTTGCCTTCATATTTCAAGAACACTCTGGACGATTGTTATTAGATTTCCATCTACATTTTGGCAGGAACTAGCGCCGATTTTAAAACCGTTTGATTGCTACTTTATCCTCTTATAGAATTTTCTTCCGGCGTATCGTTGCTTTGATCATCAACTCTTTGCCCCAGTGCCAGATAACTTGGTACCCCTACTATGTTTACCGCATGTCATTTCAGCTTAATTGAAAATTGAGGACGTCATTGTCGATGAGTTTTTTATTACATATGTACATACGTACACATTTACAGAAGTTCATAAATCGAGACATACATAAATCGAGTACATACTTACATATCGTCATCTGAAATGCAAAAAGACGTAACCAACATCGTCACTGAAATGGAAAAGTCTTGGCTTAAAAACTTTTTTTGCATAAAAAGATGGGGGGAGTTGTTTTATGTTGTTTGTACTACGGAACATATTTTTTGCGTTTGATTATACAACTGTTATCTTCTGTAATCTTGTCATTTGAGAAATCGTCGCCTGGGTAAAAGATTGTCGTAAGCGCCATTTTGACGACTTTCAGTTCTAAATGCAGTTATATATTCTGAAATAAGGTCTTTCGATTGGTGTTATCAGTTTTTAGATATCTCCTTTAGTATCCGATATATTGACTACAATTTTTTCGATAATTTACTAAAAGTTTAGTCAGTGATGCCGCCATATTAAACTAATCAATATCTCAAAAATGGCGCTCTCCATTTTTGGATATCTCCTTTAGTATCCGATATATTGACTACAATTTTTTCGATAATTTACTAAAAGTTTAGTCAGTGATGCCGCCATATTAAACTAATCAATATCTCAAAAATGGCGCTCTCCATTTTTGGATATCTCCTTTAGTATCCGATATATTGACTACAATTTTTTCGATAATTTACTAAAAGTTTAGTCAGTGATGCCGCCATATTAAACTAATCAATATCTCAAAAATGGCGCTCTCCATTTTTGGATATCTCCTTTAGTTTCCGAGATATTGAGAAAAAAGTGACGTTAATTTGGTAGAAATTTTAATTACATTTTGTCGTATTTAATACAAACTGGCTGACAAATTGTGGACAAATGACGCTTACGACAAAATTTTACTAAAGAAAATCCTTCATAAACTCAAAACTAAATAACAATAAACATTAAAAATTAAATAATTCAAGAATTTTGTGAACTACATAGTAACATTTTCAGAGACTTTGGAGAAAATCTATCATCGCATTTTTGAGAAATTGCATTCCAAACTTCAATCGCGATTTCCCACAACCTGCCGAAATTAACATACGACAATCTTTTACCCAGGCGACGAGATGTAAACAAACATGGGTATATACATATGTATATATTTAAGTACATACATACTAGAGGGCTGCATGAATTCATTCAAACTTCTAGCCAAACAGAGTACAGTAGATTCGAATATTTTACTTCACATACAAAACACTCAGCGTTTGGAACTTTGTAAATTATGAATTTTCCTTTTTTTTATATTTTCTACCTTCAAATGGAAGAATGTGAATGAATGAATGGAAAACATTCAAATCATTCAAACTCATTTCGGTAAAAGTTTTTTTCTACAAACAAGTTTTTTCGTATGTAATAGGAGCGCAGCAATACATACATACATACATTGTTTGTTTGTACATATGTTCATAGAAAAAATATTTTTGGATATTCATACCAAAAATTGTCATTTATTTCAATTCAATTTATTTTCACTTTGTTTGAATATTGTGATGTCGACACAAATATCAGAACAACTATTCACTGAAATTCAAAAAAATTTCAAGCCAAAATCATTCATTCGCTTTGTATATGAATAATTCAAAAGCCGTTTTGAATGCACTCATGCAGCCCTCTAATACATATGTATGTACGTATGTGTGTAGTTATAGTTGAAGTGAAAATAACAGGTAGAAAACGTGGAAAACGTGGCCCTCGGTTAACACAATACTCGGTAAACGTAATACCTCGGTTAAAGCAACACCCATATGCTGACCTTTAGTGACTTAGGCGCATATTCATAGTCATATTTAGTACTCAACTAAGTCGAAACTATTCTAAGTCACAACTAAAGCTATTCATAGTCGCCTTAGTTTCGACTTTTCTGGCTAAGTACCAACTTAAAATTTAGTTTCGGCTGCAGCTGCAACTAAGTCGTAACTAGGAAGAAGTATTTTATCAAATTAAGGGAAAACAGACGAAATATGTAAAAATTAAGTTGGTAGAGGGTGATTTTGATAATATTGGATTATCTCCAATTAAAATTTACAAATAGCGATCCATTTTAATCGGAAGATGAAATTAAATGCGTTTTACAATTCGAATAAAGCTACATCACAATTTTAAAATTGGAATAAATTAGATAAATCTCAAATAATAAGTAAGTTTCACGCTAGTTTTTTAAAGTAAATTTGTGTATAACATTTAGATATCTACTATTTGTATGTTTCACAGGATGCTTTCGATAAACATCGACTTCACATCACTGCGGTTGTTCTGGCTATTTCACACAAATAACGAGAAAATGATACCTTATTCTTTTGCATACTCATGCAATGAAAATAAAAATTACATAAACAGATGATCAAACCTGACATTATTTAATAAAAATTTAATTTTTCCAAAATATCGTAAAGAAAAATCGATACATTTTCACACTCGTTTTGCTATATCGTAATCTAAGTCGAAACTACACAGAATAGAGGTAAACTTTAAGTTGGTACTTAAATTTAAGTTGCAACTTTTTTAGTTTCGACTTAGTTGCTGGACTATGAATACGCCGTTTCAAATAATTATGCCTCATGGCCAATTTCCCAATGCGTAGTTAACTCGGAATCAGGAGTTAACTACAGATTTTTGTACTGAAAATCTCTAGTTAACTTCGATTCGGAGTTAACTACGCACTGTGAAATTGGCCCTCAGTATATACACAAATTGTTCAAAAGAAATTAAACAAGAAATATACTGATTTCAATTTTGTATACATACATATAAATCATTTTGAAGTGAATTAATGTAAAAATTTTTTTTTGCCTTATTACAGAATAGTATCAAGGCGAATACATATAAGGTGGTATCGATTCAACAAAGAAAACAATTACTTGTATTTTGTCTTTATTTTAGCGGGCCGTTGTCAAATTTCAGCTATTCTTCTCCGAATGAAAAAGGGCGTCAGAAAATACGCCACGTTTCACTCACTCACTAGCGAAATACAAAATTTTGACAATCAAACTACCCCGCTACCCCGTAGCGAATGTCACGCATTAGTCTCTTAAGTGTCTTGTACGGAAAAGTTACGTCTTAAATGACTTTGGGCTCCATTTATATGGAAGTCGTTCATGACTTTTTCATATAAATGGTAATTTCGTCGTTGATGTCATCTACATGACTTTGTCATGCAGTGATCATTGATGACATTCAAGCGACAATATCTTGCAATGGACTTTTTATAAGTGACCGCTGCAAGACATTGTCTGTTACAAGTCTTTGGTAGGAATACACCTGCATGACATTGTCACCAGTGTCTTTGTCAGCTTTATGTCTTTTAGGATTCACTGCAAGTGCGACAATGTCACTAAATCCTCATTAGTGACGATGTCACCGGTGACCATTTTCGCTACTGGGTACTCACAGCTGGGAAACAACACCATTTTATATTAATTCGCCTTGAATAGTATTTTACTTTTGAGACTTTTGTTTTCAGGTTGAATTCTAATTTCAGACTGAACTGTTTTTTGATTCGGTTGTTGCAGCAACTTTAACCAACACAACTGCCGGTTGCTTTTACCGAGGGTGTACTATACTTATGTATGTATGTACATAAATAAATTTGGAAACTACAGAAACCCAAAATGTTTCGAAGGGGGTTGTTGGTTATAATAAATAAACCAAAAACAAAAAACATTCTAATAAGCGGAACAACAACAAAATAAAAATAACCTGGAAATTATTGTTAAAAAACATAGTACTTAAATGGATCAAGAAATAGTTTAATCTATGTAGTAACAAGCATTGTTCCATAAATATTTAGTTAGGAGAAAATGTGTGGGAAAAGTTGATGATTACATTCAACTTCAATCCTTGAGTGATCTTCTGTTTCCATAAAGAAGGCTCCGGAACATTAATTTCTGTGCCGATATTCGTGAAAATTTCTAGGTCATGACTGTCTAAGGCGCTAATCAGTATGTATATCATGGCTTGTACATTTAGAGGGAAGAATGTGTGCTAATTTTGCTATTAAGGGTTTATGCTGAACCAATTTTGCCTCTAGTTGGGTAGAAATATTTCCAAGAAAATGCACTGCTATAGCCACTCTGTAATAATCTTCAGGGATCGATGATACACTACATACTATTTTATTTCTGGTATGTGGAATGCGTAGAAGTTTTACTTAACCATTTATCGATGTTAGAAATTCAAACGCTTATTAGAAAATATTGGAATATAACAATATTTTGTCGAAAGTCTTTTACAAGTTTAAAAAACGTTTTACAGAGTGTTCAGAAAGCGCTTGGTTAGTTGAAACTAGGTGCGTAAGGTAAAGTCAACGCAAAAATTCTTGATGCCATAAGAACGCTCACTACAAATTTATTCGATATTTTATAAACTTATTTGTGTTCGATGAAACTACCATGCCCGGTTCGAACATCAATCCGTTAAACGCCTTAATAATCGTGGTATACGTTTCTTTAAATCTAAGTATTGTGAAATATATGTCTTAAATATCGCCGTTTTGATAATAAAGATAGTTATTTGAAATTTGTATTAGTCTAGTTATCTTTATGATGAAATCTCAAAAACCGTAAATATTGAACTAGCTCTCTGTATTATGTGCATTCAGCACAAATCTGGCGATTAATTCGATGAAAATTTATAATTTTATCACTTTTATCTGCAGTAGTATTTGATTGATTTATCTACACTGAGAAAAGAGACACTAAACATAGTTCTCTCAACACAAAATGGTGACTATAACCAAGTTTTGTAACTATAACCAAATCATGTGGTGTTAAAAATTCAGTTGACGTAACTAAACTCTTTTTTCAGTGTATGAGTCAAGGTAGTATGATAAAAATATGGCTCAGATAGCTTGTTAAAAGACCGGTGCCTTTTTGCAATCAAATCTGATCAATTTCCCTATCTTATTTTTCTGTGCACTTATCAGTATAAGTCTTCACACCGATCTCGGGATTCGTCAATTGTTAAAATAATGTTACACAAACAAAATACATGGGAAAAAATTACCGAACACCGAGTTTCCGAATACTAAGCTTCGGTGTGAAGACCCATAATATTTATACACATAAATGTGGTAAAACTACGCTGCATACTAATTTTTATGAGTATCTGAAAAAATTTGCTGTACATTTATTCTTTCCTTCTGCTTTGTCACACAGATATTCCGATGGCACAGTTAAATTGCGTAACTCCAACATCGAATTAATGGATCAGGATATACTCTATCACCTCGCTTTGGGCAGTGAAAGCCATGATTTGCAAGAAATGTTCGGTGATGTTAAAGTAAGCAAATTTTATTTGGCAAACATTTTTTATTTATATGCCTACTATGACTATACATCTTGTGTATGTAATTATGATTACTTGAAGGACGTCGGCATCCAAAAGACCAGAAGACGAGAAAAACGGCTTTAAAGTTTAGAATTTACTTATACATATAGCTTATATATACATATTTGGTTTTAATGAGCTACTGGTAATTGATACTGCGCGAAGTTTTACACAACATAGAAGAAGAGGAAACGGTAATTTCTGCATACTTGACTTGATTTTTGTGTTTTTTTTTGGACTTTCTTCAAGTAAACAAGCGATATGTATGTATTCAAAACTATAGACGTTTTCATCGTCATAACTTGGCTCAAAAACTACTTAATAGATTTTAGCCCAATTTTCCGTAGTATTTCTTTACGCATCTGGTGGTCTAGTCCACCAATAACTCGCAGGTGGCGAAACTTTTTATGATAAAAACAAATTAGGCAACAATTTGGCAACACCTATCAGGATTTAAAAATAACTGCTACAGCATAAAACTAGTTGCAACAATACATATTTGTATATATATATATATATGTATAAATGCTAAAAGGTACTTGCTCTTTACGAAATATAGTTGTGATAATAATACGGGGCAACATTTTTCTATTTTTTTCGAAATTCTCCGCTAGTCAGAAATCGTGAAGGTAGTCTGTTATCTTCCAAAAATTCTTCTAAATCCTCGTGCGTTTACATCAGAGGTGTTCAACATAAATTAATTACTGAACCGAACAACAACATCGTCAATATTTCTTATGGGAGTTGCATAAAATATTTCAACCCCAAACTGGAAACAAATGATACAAACCAGGGTTGTTGTGAATATTCGCATTCGCATCCTCGGAGCTTCCGCATTAATTTTAACATTCGCATTCGCTTTCGCATTCGCAATTATCAATGCGGATCTTTGCGAATGCGAATATTAAAGTGACCGAAAATAACTGTTATCTTTTTACGAGTTAAACTTGGCCAAATATTTTTTATTCCGAAATAAAAGTTCTTTCCGGATAATAAACAAACCGCTTATCGAAATTAAACAAATTTGATGTCAAATGGAAGAGGACTTAAATAGCTTTAAAACTCAAATGTCTAAACGAGGTAAGCCACTTAATGAAAAACATTTCAACAAAAATATTCAATTTTTATTGAGCTTGAGGCCATTTTTAATGAAAAACTATTTTGGAAAAGCCACAACACTTTGAAAAAAATGGTAGAAGTAATAGCTATTTCGGAAATCACCACATTACCTCATCAGACTTCTTCAGCGGGATTTGAACCGACGACCCCAGCTGACTCAGTCAGTTGCCTACGCACTGTGCTAAGTTCACCTTCAATAAAAAAATGTTAATTAACTACCATAGAACAAAACTTGGGTCAGGTATATTACTTTCTTTATTTTGAAATTATACAAAAAAAAATATAAATAGAGGTGGTAGCCTTCGTTCGTTATTTTTGTTTGAAAGCTACTTCAGTCCTCTTTCATATGATACCAAATATGTTTAAAATGGATAAACGTTTGTTTATTATCTGGAAAGGACTTTTGTTAAATAATAATAAAAAGTATTAGGCCAAGTTTGACTCGTAAAAGAATAAAGCTGACTTTCAAAACGTCAATTGCTTTGCATACGTACAAAGTATAATGTTCCATAACGCCGAAGACCAAAATATTGGCAACAACAACTAAAATCGAAAAACGCTGATGACGTTACACGTTCTCCAAATTCAGAAACAACCAAAAGAATGAGAATGAAGAATTCTTAAGAACACAACGGTGTTTCAACAAAAGATCTTGCCATGACGCCAGTAGTTATTTAGTGGCGCAGGTTTGATTTAAGACCATTTAAAGAGTTTTTCTTTATCATTAATTAAGCAGTTTTTTCAAAAAAGGTTATTTCATGGAAAAATAGTATTTGTTCGTTTTTTAGTGGTTTTGGTTTAAAAATACAAAAAGCTATAAATTATGTACATCAGCTGAAGAACAAATTTATCACCTTCATGGTGACGTCATTAGCTTTTTAATCGGTTATAAAGTTCATAAGATATTAATATTTTAAATATCTAAAAACTGAACTTTAACCTTCTAGAACCTCTTCATCTTTTACTTGCTCCAAATCATTTTGGCATGGTTGAAATGAGCATAAAAAGTTCTATTGATCTATTGATCGATTTTGCATAGCTGAACGGTCGGTATTCTAGATTTGTTCCCGGGAATGACGAATAACTTAAATCAAAAATGCATATTTTTATGTATTGTTTAGTATTTCCATTAAAACACCAAATATATTGCAAATTCGCATAGAATTAATAATACACATTTTACTTCTAATTGTATACTTTGCGTACTTTTTGTAGTACCATTCTACTACCGTTTTCGCAAAATGCGATCACATTCTTCCCCTTTCTCCTACTTCCAAAATACAAATCTAGATAAAGGAGTGTGAAATTTTAGCTGTCACAAATTACACAACCTTGTATTATTGAATCATGCGTTCACATGTTTTGTTTTTAAATCACATTATGAAAATTGCTTAAATGATGTGATTCTACACAACTTTATCAATATTTTCCGTGTTAACTTGAAATTTTCGGAAATAATCAGCACTTGCACTTTCAACCAGTGTTGAGACCTATAGCTAAATTCTTTGAAAAAAAATAGCTAAAAATAGCAAAAAAAATTTGTTTCATAGCCAAACAAAATAGCTACAAATACTTTTCTTTTGTAACAGCTAAATAAACATTTATTTTAGTGGTGGCAAACTATCGATGGCATTATTGATAGTATCGATGGGACATCACTATCGCAACTATCGATGGCGACCACTATCGGCCATATTTAAAGTTCGATGCTATCGATACTATCGAGGAATTGCCATATCTGTGTATGATTTTTATGTACCATATCTATGTTAAAACGCGTTTGTGCAAAGTTTTTTATAATACTCCTGCGGATAGTGTAACAAAATGTGGACATATATCTAACTCATAATGTGAAAGGTAACGTGTTTGTTATAGATATGTGTATAGTGCATGTGTTTCATAATTTGTAATAACTTTTACATAAAACTAGAGCTTAAGTCATGAAACTTTTTCTACAAAAAAATCTCCACATAAAATTATAAAAGTAAAAATTAAAAAAAATCAGCTGCACTTGATAGTAGTTGGTTGAATAAGGAAAATGAATTAGCAACAAGAGTTTACGGGATGTACATAGCTCAGTGGTTAACGCTTCTAACTTTGAACATCGAATTCGCAGGTTCGATCCCTGCTGAAGTCTAGAAAAAAGAAGTCTGATGAAGAAATGTGGTGGTGATCTCCGAAATAGCTGCTATAACTTCTACCGCTTAGACATTGTTGCTTTTTCAATTTTTCCTAATAAACAATCGTGGTACAAAGCTCAATAAAAATATTAAAAGTAAAAATTTTTAAGTTTAAAAAGTAAATAAACAAGAAGTTTCCATTTTCGGATCCGTTTCCGAATTTTGTTGGCTGTGTGTGTAAAAGCCTGCAAAAAATGCACCAAATTTCCTCCCAAAATCCAAAGTTTTTTCTTAGAAGTGTTCTAAAAAATCAATGGTAATTTTTAGCTACTTGAAACTTGCACATTATTGGACTAAAATTAAATGGACTATAAAACTATGTACTCAAAAAAACTCTAGCACCTCTGAGAAAAAAGTTTGAAATTTATGTGAAAATTTGTTGCATTTTTTTGCAGCCTTTTATAAAGTTTTGAACTTGGGGTTTGCTAGAGAATCAAATGCATTTTAATTGAAAATTCTTAAAAATAAATAATTAAACAAGAGTGGGAAACAATATTACTTTAAAATATTCCTATTGATATGATCGATACTGAATATCTCGGTCACAATATGAGATTGACTATATGGCAGAGTACCGGACTCAATTTTCAGCTTTCTTACCTTCCATTACTGCCGCAATCAAATATTCAAGACCGTTCAGCAAATTTTTGGGGAACAGTTAGTAAAGGCAAGAAAATAAACAACAAGTAATTTTTAAGCAAAAAAAAAAAGCGACTTCAATTCTTATATACAAATTTGATAGTACCGTTAATTTCTTCATGACCAAATGATTAGATCTAAACGAAATTAGTAGGGGACCACCCTTTAGGCAACACCTTTCCGACAGAAAAAGAATATAGAAATCGGTGGTCCAAAGTTATGCGGTAAAATACATAAAAAAATATTCAGACGAATTTAAACTTCTCCTTTTTTGAAGTCGGTCAAAAAGGGGCATTTGACATTTGGTTTAATGGAGGTTTAAGTACTTTTTGATGCTGTGCAGTACTGAATGAAAAAATGTCCAATTAAGGCCTTTTGTATTCATAAAGACGATATGTTATTTTATGTATAAATGAGAAATTGTATGATTTGCAATATCTTTGGTATGAAGACTACGTTACCTTAATGTAAAAATAAATATACCGTTTTTTGAATGCAATATATCGTTACCTTAGTATAGAAAGGCCCTATCTAACATTTCTAGTGCTTCACATAGTAATTTCAAAATCAAATAAAAAAGGCAGTTTTTGTGGCGAATTTCTTTCAAACAATATTTTTTCATAAAGGCTGTATGGAATATAATATATTTAAAGTTATTTTTGAATTCTATTAGATGGTTAATAAGTAATCCGACCAACTGTCCTATGAAGCTGAATTTCGAAAGAAGATGAGTTAAGGGCTCTCTATATTAAGGTAAATATGTACATACATACAAATATTGAACTGATAAGTCGTGTGAATTGAATTAATACGTAATTAGTATAATACGTAGAAATTAAAACGCACATCTAGCTTTATGTAATCGCCAAGCAGATATTTAATATTGGAACAAGTTTTTTACATATATACATACATAAATATATGTATATACGAACATATGTGCCTACATGAGAACAAAAAAAATATTTCAAATGCATCTGTAGCATATATAAGTATATGTATATAATTTATTGA